ATATTACAAACGATTAATTGTGGTGAAGAAATAAATTCAGAAAAATTCGGTTCTTATGCGTACAAGGCAGCGGAAATATTTATTGAAAAATATTCTTGGTACTTTATGCCAATTACCGTTCATAAAATTCTTCTTCACGGTAAGGAAATTATAGAAAATGCTTCGGAAAATGCAGCGTTACCTGTTGGGACATTATCGAAAAAAGCTCAAGAGGCAAGAAATAAGGACTATAAACGATATCGACTTAATCATAGTAGAAAATGTAGCCGTCTGTTTACAAATAAAGATGTTATGCATATGATGCTCGTGTCATCCGATCCGTTAATAACTAGTTTAAGAAGTAAACCACATCAAAAAAATTTAGACTTAAGCGATGAGACGCAAGAATTACTTTGCTCTTATACGTAAATTAAATGTAAATTGAATTTTTATTTAATTTCAATCAAATACTTGTTCCTATCATTAATTTTTAATAAATATACACTTTTGCAATTTTTATAAGTCAACATTGAAAGGTTCTATGATCATTCATTGCACATATTTCACAAGTAACATAATTTTTTCCGCGATTCGCGCAAACGGCTTCACTGTGCGCCACGGCCGCAGCATATCCCCTCTAACTGGCTAGTTCGGACACGAACCATTAGCACGGACGCAAACCATGTGCGGTTACCGAGCGAAACGACGTAGTTGAGTTGCATTTTCTCAGGCGGCGCGTCGGAAAATGCGACACAGAAAAATTGACGAAAAATGCCGGGGTGGCCTCTCTCAGGTTTCTCTCTGTCAATACTTTGAATCGCGAAACAGAATCATCAAACAAAAATAAGAAGCGAATAAAAGTACAAATCGATAAAATCCCAGAAATTGTTAACAACGGAATTGAACAATTTGTTTTCACCGAAACTAGAAGATTTTTCAAAAGATTTGACTTAAATGATGAATTCCTTAAGACAGAACCGTTGACGTGGCATAAAAATGAAAGTTTTGTAAAAGGTCTGGAATTAGTAAATAAATTGAGAGTTGTAAATGATTCGGCTGAGAGAGGGGTCAAGCTTATGGAAAATTATAATATTAAATTATTTACGAAAAATGAGCAACAGAAACAGTATGTGCTTCAGATTGTAAGTGATTATCGCCGAAAGTTTCCAGGTTATAAAAAAGAGACTTTACCTCAGCCGCTCAGCGTCAAGATTTGTAGTAAAAAGAAGTGATTTTCACATTTTTCTCGGAAATAGTTAGTCGTACGAGAAAAAGTGGTAGATGATAATATGTGCATTTTTAATAAATCTACAACTTTTGTATGATACTTTTTGCATATAATTAATATTTTGCAAGATAAACAAATAAAATTGATTTTTTTTGTGATTTTATGATTTTTTCGATTTTCAAGATCCTGGGGACACCCTTTCCCTTTATCCGATTGAGCTGAAATTTGACACAGATTTTTTTTTCATAAAATGGAACCAAATTAGAGGGTAGCGCAAAAAAATTCCCCCAAAAAATTTACCAAGAGTAAATAAGAGCCACCCTAATCTGGACGTTTGAAAGTATCGCACATCTAATTCAATTAGTAAAAAATAATGAAATTATATGGAATTACTGCATTCCTATGAAAGAAAGGTCAAAATTTAAAATAAGTATTGCATGGAACTTTATCGTGGAAGACTTGAAAGGTAAGACCTAAAAATTTATTAGAAATTAAACAATTTTCTAAACTAAACTGAAATGTGCTCTCACAATATACAAACTCGTCTTAATTCTTTAATAATTTTAAATATTTTAGATACATTTCCCGATATCTCTTCTTTCTTTAATCCAATTGTGGTTCAATCAAAATGGAAAAGTTTGGTCGATTATTTTTTGGAGAAAAGTAGCTTCACGTCCAAAAACAACTGGATCTGCTGCCGCTGCTCCCGAATCGTGGCCATATTTCGAAAATATGACATTTCTTCAAGAAATACAAACTAAACAAAAGTAGTAATTCAAATCTATAAAAAATAATTTTTATATATCTTATAGATTATTATCTATTTCAGGACTATTGATAATTTCCCTGAGGAAGAGGAAAAAAATAGAAATAATGAAAAAATTAGAAGAGGAAGAACCAACAAAAACAATAACGGCATCGCAAAAAAAAAAACGTCAGCTCTAAACAAATTGGCAAAGGCACCATCAATAATTCCACCTCCATTCCCCGCTCCTTTACCACAAAACACTACGCAGTCAAAATTGACTTTGAAAGAAAAGAAAATTCGAGATTTTCTACAATTAATGGAGTCCTTGATGCTGAATATACCCGATGCTGATCTCGACAATGTGCTCTTCAGTATCCACGAAACTGTACATAAAGCAAAAAAATAATCGCACAAAAATATTAAAAAGAATTTATGTATACTGCGCGGTCTTCGCGTCAATGATTCCTTTTCCGTGGTAAGGGGGGAACACAGAAATCTAGAGACGCTATTATGGTTATTTCTATTAAGGTGCGAATTCATGGGACGCTCGTTTCAGCGTATCGCGAGATCACGTGATTTCGATCTGACGCTAGCGTCAAGCAAAGAAAGCTGGATTTTCTCAGCTTTAAGCGTCAAAGCCAAAGCAGCGCGAAGACGCCGAAATTTTGACGCTGTTTTCCTTTTCACGAATTTCAATTGACGCCGACGTCAATTGTGGTCATGCGACCTTCTTGCCGCTGAAAATGAGCGTCGAGCGTCAGCATGAAAAGGCACCTTTAGTCTATTACTAGAATTTCTATATGTTCCCCCATTACCTCAGGAAAAGAATCATTGACACGCAGTGTACGCAGTTTATTATATTTCAATACATGTTTATTTATTTTATTTTATTTCCAACAAAATGTTATTACAAATTTCTAACAAATAAAAATTGTTTTTTTGAAAATAAAAAAATGTGTGTGAAAAAATATATTTTCTTTAATTTAGTCAATTGCATTATTAATGATAAATTTGGTGAAATTGCCAAGGTACTGCTCCTTCATTGGCGAAAAACTCTGTGAACTTTCTTCGTACTTGTAAAGCTTCTCGACTTAATACTGCTTGATTTGGTTGATTTAAATTTTGAAATAAATTATTTTCAGATGTATCATTTTGCCAAATACTTGGAATTACATCTCCATTTCTTGTTTCTCTATCTACCATTGACTTGCAAAAATATGTCGACTCTTCCTTTTTTATTAAATAATTATGGAGACATATCGTTGCTTTTACAATAGCTTACATTGTTTCTATATTTGCGTCTATTGTTCTTCGAAGTATTCTCCATTTTGCAGTAAGGATTCCAAATGTATTTTCAATAATTCTTCGAGCTCTCGATAAACGGTAGTTGAAAATTCTTTGATCAAGTGACAATTTGTTATTTTCAGGATAAGGTGTCATTAAATATGTTGTCAAGGGAAATGCTTGATCTCCAACTGCAACAAAATGAAGAACAGTATCGCTGTCCAATACAGATACCAGATTTGGCACTCCCATTCTGTCTTCTTCAAAATATTTTCTCATTTTCGATGAGAAAATACCACCGTCGCTCTGGCGCCCAGTAGCTCCAATATCCAACATCGTAAATGCGTAACGATAATCACATATAGAGCCAATAACACTATACTATGAAATCCTTTGTAATTATAATATTCAGAACCATTGCAGCACCCGCGGGAGCCTAAAAAAGAAAATAGAACAAGATTTTGTTTTTGTTTCTTTTTTTAAGTCACGAAACTTTTACCTGTATGGGAATGTGTTTTCCATCGATTGCACCAATACAATTAGGAAAATTCCACTGAGATTCAAATCCTTTTCCAATTCCTTTCCAATCTTCAGTTGTTGGCAATTCTAAAACAGATGCTCGTAATTTATTCCATAATGCTGTACATATTTCGAAAATTATATTGGAAACAGTAGATTTTCCCATTCGAAATTGGTAAGACAATGAAACCAGACTGTCTCCAGAAACAACATATCTGAAAAGAAAAGAAATACATCGCAAACTGACATGTAAATTAAATTATAATTAAAATCTTACAATTATTTGCTGTACCTTAGTGTCAAAGCCAATCGCTCGCCAACAGATATAGGTCGACGTGCTATGGTTTCACGTGTTCTTTCAATGCTAGGTCCAACTAACTGTACCAATACTTCAAAATGTGTTGCTGACATTCTGAAGTAATTGGTAAACAATTCTCTATTCGTGAGCAGCAAAAGAAATAACGAAGCATAATTACCATGTACACGACGACTCTTTACTATTGGAGACTCCCAATATCGTTTCTTTTTATATGGTCTTCGTTTTTTTTTCTTGTAAATGTTTAATTATTACAGGCATTACAAGCGTTATTGCTTTCTGTAATTTTCTTCTATGATTATTTACAGAATTTATATAATTGCAGTACCAGTCGTAATATGTTTGTGTTAAATTATCCATAATTGACGCACGTCGTCGACAACTGCCGCTGAAACATTAATTGATTTTTATGTTTTAGTGGAGAATACGATAGTTTTAAAGCGGGAAGCCTGGAACAAGATTTTTAACGAAGAAAATTGAAAAATAATATTTCCGATGAAGAGTAAAGTACTCTTTAGATTCTTGTACTAGTCTTAAAAATTTTGTTCTGAGTTGTTCCAGTGGAGAACACGATAGTTTTAAAGCGGGAAGCCTGGAACAAGATTTTTAACAAAAAAAATTAAAAAATAATATTTTCGATGAAGAGTAAGGTACCCTTTAGGTTCTTGTTCTAGTCTTAAAATTTTTGTTCTGAGTTGTTCTACGCGGTTAGAAATATGTTCTAGATCGACAGTTTTGTAAGTCATTTTGTTTACGAATAAATGGCCAAAAACTGTTATTTTTAAAATTTTTCTTTTTTCAATATCTCTTAAAGTTTTTAACCAATCGAACTAATACTTTGGAACAATGTTTGGAACAACTAGAACAATTTGTAGCGATAAAAAATTTCGATTTTTGAAAAAAGGGAGACCAGCAAAAAAAATTGTTTTTTTTTTATTTTATTAAAAAACTGTTGAGAATTAAGGAATATCGTTTTGGAACAATGTAGTACAAAATCAGAACAACCTGGAACAACTTTCAAAAATATGAATTTCAAAAAAAGGGGGGCTAACTTCATACACTCTTCATAATATAGATTCTAAACAGCGAGTAATATCATTGAAGAGACATGTGATGCTATTTGGAATTGTCTGCAGAAGAAAGTACTTCCTTCTTGTTTGAAGGAAGATAATTGGCTAAACATTGCTGGTGACTTCGAGACAAAATGGAATTTTAACCATTGTATTGGAGCAATCGATGGAAAAATGTTCTTCTTCAGGTGTAAAAATAATATATGTATAATGTAAGAATAAATTATATAAATTCTTGAAATTTATTTTTAGTGCTCAGATAATGCAGGTTCTGCATATTTTAATTACAAACATAGCCATAGCATCGTATTACTTGGAATTTGCAATGCAGATTATATTTTAACCTTTGTTGACATCGGAGGTTATGGCGAACGCAGTGACGGTGGAATCTTTAGAGATTCTATAATAGGTCACAAATTCAACAATCGTGAAATAAATTTGCTAAAACCAGCATCTCTTACAATAAATGTAAAACCTTTACCTTACTTGCTTGTAGGGGATGAAGCATTTCAGTTAACAGAATACTTACTTTGGTTGTATCCTGGAAAAGGCGGTTTAAATCAAGAACGAACAATTTTTAATTACCGTCTTAGTCGAGCCAGAAGAACGATTGAAAATACTTTTGGTATTTTGGTCAGCCGTTGGAGAATTTTAAAACAACCAATTATTTGTACGGTAAAAAAATCCATAAAAATTGTACAAGCTATTGTATGTTTGCACCAACTTTCTTCGTAAGCAAGATATCGGAGTAAACCAATATGTTGATGACACACTTGTTGATCAAGATAGACCTGATGGGTTTGTTGCTGGTTCTTGGAGAAAAGACATCGAAATTAGCGCGTTAAGAGATATTACTACATGTGGTAATAATAATAGTACACAAAACGCAATCGAAATTCGTGAGAACTTTTGCAATTATTTCAATACTGAAGGAGTTATACCATGGCAATTTAATAATGTTTAATTATAAATATTTTGTACAGGAAACATTGCGTTAAAAAATCCATGATTATAACGTTCTAAATATTAGATTTATATAACATTTTCTATGATTTCTTTTTTTTTTTATTATAACTTACTGTATTTTCTAAATAAAAATGTAAAAATTAATAATTGTTGTGATAAATATTTAAAAAATGTAAACATTGGATTGGAATAAAATAAAACCTCTGATAACTAGTTATTAAACTTATTGTTAGTTTATTTAGAAACATTTAAATATTTATTTAAACATTTTAAAGATTACTAAATGTAAATATATTATTTAATAATAAACATTGTGACCATAAAATATAAAATAAAATATTCTTATATTTAAGTAATGCACGTTATATAAATTTGAATTGCTTAAAAAAAGTGTCTTATTGTATGTTGCTTTTTATATAAAATGTTATTCATAAATGTTTCTTGGATAATTCTTTCATACGTTAATTCTAATATGTTTTGCATTATTTCTAATCTAGTCTGTAGTGGCATTTTCCGTAATCTAAATCCCACTAAACTTAAAAAAGAATCTATTTCGTCAGGTTCTGGTGGTGGAGGTAGGGTTATATTGTTATCTTGACATATAGCGTCCGCAATTCTCTCTATATATCGCATCTGTCGACCGATCATTTCTTTTCTTCTTTTTTTTCTTTACTGGAATCTAGGAATATAAAAAAGCATTTTTTCTTAATTATTTTTAATACTAGATTTTTCGCCTGTGCTTCGCGCGGGCTTAAAGTCTATTCCCCTCTCCCTAAACTCATCCATTAATTAGGAGAACCACCAATAGAACCCAATAAAAACCCCCAATTTCTAACCTCATAGTAGCCATCCCCATAAAATTAATAATCTTTTGGTACCAGTTTCATCAAAATCATCAACAATAAATTAGAAGAATTTTGGCATCGGTTTCAAGAAAATCGATCCATTAATAAAAAATTATCCATTAATGAAAAATTAAACTTATTCTTAAAAAATTAAATCTCTACTTCTCTACTCTCTCCTATTATATAAAAAAAAAAGTTTGTAGGGTAGACCGGGGCACGTTGTCACTTTGGCTTTATTTAAAAAACTAATAACCGGAGGGCAGCACCCGTCATTCCCAAAACGTGTTAGTGTATGCCCATCTTTGGTGTGTTTACAGTCTTGAGATTGCGCCAGCCGTGTTGACGTAAAATCAACTTGAAAGTTTTTTGCGATTGTAAGTAAAATTTTATTGTCTAATATTCAACGTACTGGACATGAAGCTTATGTTTTTTCAGAATAGACCTTTACATTATCTTAAAGTATGTACTTTTACCTACCGCGTGCAGTACCTAATTTCACGAATATCTCAAACGTGTCGGACATGAGGCTGTTTAAAGTAAAAAAATGCCCTCGGGGCACGTTGTCACGAATTTGATGGGAATCTATTGCGAATCTTCGGATGACGATAACGAATAAAAATATTTTATGTTTAATCACCGACATGATTATAAAAGAAAAAATGTTTATCAATAAGTTGCGCATTCAAGTGAAATTCTTGCCTATTTAGATTAAGACGAAAACTTCGTGCTTTTTGTACTTTTCTGAAATAAAATAAATGTTTCTGTGAAGGATTTTACTTTTTTACATTGCAGCGCACTATAATATATTGATATTTACGTTGTATACAGTTTGGATTACATTTTGCATGCAATTAAATTTGATGCGACAACGTGCCCCGGTCACGGGGCACGTTGTCACAAGCGACCTGTCGTTATTTATTGTTATGTAACAACTGTAGAGTAACAATCACACAAAATTCGATACTGTCCAAAAGCTGAGGGTTCACTCGAAATTTTGGCATATCAAAGTACTCTTAAATATTGAATGTAAAAAATACAAAAAATATTGAAAAAAATGTGTGACAACGTGTTCCGGTCTACCCTATCCATTATCGGGGTAATTTTATAAACTACTGAATCGATTTCAAAACATTTTACACTGGTGGTTAGCTTATGTCTTCCTGAGTAAGATAGGCTATGTGCCATTGTGCTACAACCCAATTTGAAAAAAATTGGGATATCTAAAATTTTAAATTCTTTAAAAGAGTCGTATTTAAATGACTTTTTCTGTTCAGATTTTCCTAATAAACTAAATCTTAAAGTATTGTATATAAAATAGGGGTAGAAAAAACTGAGGAATATAATATAATTCAAAAAATTGCTAATAATAAAAAAGTTACTGATTTCTGTTTAAAAAAATTTATATGTGATTGCTCTGATTTCCGCAAATTTTGAGATATTGAGCTAATATTTTTTATAGATAGAGTGTTATTAAAGGTAGGTTGGTATTGAATTTGGCGAGAATTGGTGAAAGGGTTATCGATTTTTGCCTAAAAAGTGTATAAGTTATACATGCCATATTTGTCATCTTATATATATATAGAGTATCATTAAAGGAAGATTGTTATTGAATTTGGCGAG